TCACAGTGGAACAACATATGTGGATGATTGCAAGCTGTTCCATATTTTAGTAAAGTTCCGCAATTCGCTTTGAAGTAATCTATATATTCAAGGCAATGTAAGCCAGAAAAAAAACAGTCGGATAGGTCATTCGGCATTCTGAACGACCATGTAATGATAAAAAACAACGAGGAGGGATGCCAAGATCATGGCAAGATCCGCTTGAATATCAATATAAAATTATGCAGCTGAGAGGGATCCAAGACAAAGATAAAAAATAAAGAAGCATCCAGGTGCATCAACGGAAAAAAGCAATGCGGCTATGAAACAATAACTGCCCAAAGTAGCAAAAAAAGAAAAAAAAAATACCAAGTACTATCGCCAAGCATAATGATACTTCGATTTGTTGCGACAATCTGATCGATCCAGTTATCCTCCATAACTGCTGTGCTTGCAAAATTAGAGCTGGCATCGATAAAAGTTGGAAGCGAACCGGTGGTGAGTGCTTTCAAGCGCTGCATCGTGGTAGTTGGAGGGTCAGCGTGGAATTGCATCAGCACTGCTGAATCTAAAATTACTTTAACCGAAACATTCCCAATTCAGATTTTAATCTTATTTTATTCACATTCCTCTTTTTTATTTCCTTACAATTTTTCATAAACATAAACCAATTAAAATTAAAATACCATTTCGAAGAAATAAAAAAAAAATGAAAGAGTTAAGGCACCATACGCGAACAGGTACTATTCAAGTAGGAAAAGCGGAGTCTAAAAATCATGAAAATTTTCACGGATTCACTTTTTCTCTAGCAATATCAGTGAAGCTGTCAACACGTAATTTTAAAGAAAAACACAAACCGCTATGATTGGCAAGTAGACCAGCGATCGTATGCATATGACCCAAATAAGCAGCGGTGTTGTTGAGATCAGTCGGTGGCAGGATAAAGTCATGGCGCAAAGCATCAATAAGAATGATGACAGCTCGATCGTACTGAGCCGGAAGCCAGCAGGCCCCACGTGGAGTGGCTACGTCGGAACACGAGCTACGAGACGAGAGTTCAACCCGTTTCAAAAGAAAACCACGTTGAAAGAGCAATAACGAGATAGCAAGTGAGATGCCAAGAAATGCTGTGTTGATTAAATGCGCCTGAAATTTGCATTTTAACAAGAAATATACTAAAAGAAAAATCGAGAAATGCTGAGGTTTTCAGTATACCAGGAAAAATAAGCAAATTTTTGGGAAAAATAACTTTATCAAAAAAAGCAAAGCAAATTTTTACAAAAAGAAAAACTCTTAACAAAAATGGGCCAAAAAAAAACAAAAAATTTGAGAAAAACTGAGATAAAATTTTAGCAAAAAAAACAGATTTTTCTAAAAAAGAACCCCGGCGAAAAAATTTACTGTTCATCAAAAAAGGTAAATTTTTAGACGATGAAAGTACATACCAAAAAAATTAATTTTTTTCTAAAAAGACGGTTTGGAAGGAGGGGGGAAAGTGAGGCAAATTCGATGTGTTGGCTTACAAATGCGCCAGTCATTTGTTCGAGCTGGAGCATTGTGCTGGATCAGGTATTCGGTCCAGTGGACGCGCATGAAAATGTCGCAGCTCTTGCGGCAAATCTTCAGGATCTGCAGTGAAAAACGGGTTTTTTTGAGAAAAGAAAGAAATTACCCTGATGCGATTCTTCATAATATTTTCAGGGACCAACAGTTCACAACAACAACCGTTTTTGTTGGAAGCAAAACACACTGGCCCAGATGGATTGGTGGATGGATGGGCGAGTGACCTCCATTCCCTCCTTTACCTACAGAAACTTCCAGATAATATCTTCCTCCCGTTGCAATTTATTTGCGTAACATAACTGCCCTGTATTATAAATTATGCGGAAGGAACTGGGTTGGTACTGAGACAGGACATTTGAAATTTTTTTTCTCGAAATGATCAACTTCGTAACTTCGGGTACTCAACGAAAATGGATTTTTCTTGATCAATTTTTTATGCCAGGTGTTAAAGTTTTTTTCTACTAAATCTACTTTCACAGGATATTTCCATTTTCATTTTTATTTCAAGACACCAAAGTCTCCGCAATATACCAAGTATCGCTGACAACTATTTTCACCCTCACCTGATCTGTTAGTCGACACTGAGCAAGTAACAAAGTGATGACAAGTGGAATGTCCTTTTTCATCCCGGTTTACCTCTTGATGGCCCGCGTCAAACAATTTGAGGAGCAAAGTTTCCCTCAAGTGAGCCCATCACGATTGTAAAAGCGATAATCTGCTCCACTCAGAGATCATTACGGAAAAAAAAAGTGTTTGGGTTAAATTTCGCTGACTTTTCAGTGACACATGCTAATTGATCACTGAGTATTAGAAAATTGAGGATGTTGAAGCGCTCATACAGCAACCATATTTTCGATCGTGCAACGGACCGCCAAGCCTTGGGTTCCGTCTTATTCAGACAGGCCGGCCAATCCGTCTCAGACATTGGTTGCCAAACTGAATCATTGCGCTGGCCCTAAGAACTGAACCCTCGTCTATCATCCAGCAACGACTATAAAACCGACTACACCATGAAGACAAGCAAAACCAGCACCGAATGATTCGGGAAACAACGATGCCAGGATTTCGACTGCTGACCACTGGCATTAAAATGTAAATTAACCTTTCCATCGATTATGAACAAACTTTTGCAGACGGCTGGCAAACAGGAAAAGTCAGTGGTGAGGACCGAACTCGTGACTACTTCATGTTGAAATTAAGGATTACGAAAAAAAAAAACATAGACACTACTAGAAGATATGAAAAAATTTATAAAAATTCCTAAATTCCAAATCTAAAAACGACGAAATACAAACAAATAACAAAAGGATGAAGCGAAAAGGCCTATAAAATGCTTTAATAGTTTTCTGTCAAAAAAAAAAAAAAAAAATAGTTTTGTGCCAAAATAAATAGTTTTTTGGCAGAAAACTATTTACAGCGAGGTCTATAAGTACTAAAAATAGTTTCTTGCCAAAAAAAAAGTAAAAACATACCACCTGTGTAATCCAATGAAATGAAGCGGATAAAATCACTTGTTGATGGAAGTGATTCGAAGTCGGGCTCCTTCTGCGCTTCCTTCCGTGCCTTTTTC